TCGATCGCTCGAGAGACATCTTTCCCAATTGATCTGGGACTTGGGGAGTTGCAGGATGGATCCATCGTGGCGCATGAGGATTGGGTATTTGGTATTGGCCTTCCTGATAGATATATCGATTTGGCACCACGGTACACGGGATAATGGATTTTGTTCTCATAATTCCATGAAAATTATAGAAAAAAACAGGAAAAATTTAGAGACGGGGCAAATATTTAAGGGATAATGGCTCAAATGGTCCATCAACTTTGGCTCAATATACAATATGGTCTTGAACTTTTAATTTATTTAATACTGTCCGTAAACTTTTGGTACATGTTCAAATTAATCCCTGAATTATTTGAAAATGTTCGATATTTAAAGTACAAGGACCGCATTGCACATTGGGTTAAAGTTCAAGGACCACATTAAATAAATTGAAAGTTTAGGGACAACATTATACGTACGAACAAAGTATTTTTCCAATATTTGATTGAATATATACGGTGTCTAGTGTCTATTGTCCACTTCTCAACTGTCGCTCTCGAACACAGATGGGTGGGAGGCAATAATACGATGTTTTCCAACCTGAGATGGTCCACCCCCTCCTGTGCAATGCAATTGCTTTTATCAACCAATCATTGTACTATATAATGTCTCACATCGAAAAAATTTCATTTCATAAATCCTAGGGCTATATTGGGTAAGAAAAGTTTAGCTTATTCCAAAATGTACATCCCCAACCTCTCTCTCAACAAAATGAATTCGCTAAAAAATGGAGAAAGAAAATGAAATTTGCTTTCAAATGAGTCGGTCTAGTATCCATCCGATAGATAGATTTCACGACATTCAACGAAATCGAGAGATATATAAAATCACAGTTTGCTGAACTTTTGGGAAGTTTAACGGGCTCGTGCTTAATCCCACCGTAAGTGCAGATTAATAACTTTAATTTGGGGGCAACTCCCATTGCATTCCTTGATCACGAAGAACACGTTCAAGGTCAAAACCCCTTTCCTCATACTTGGAAAAAGGTAGTACAATGAATGTGTGCAAGTAATACTATATAGCTGCCTTGTGCTCGAAAAAGTAGTGATGACGTAATAAACACACTCCAACTTGTCATCAAAAGCAGCAACCCTTTGCATCCCCACCGGCGGTCAAGCCGATTATAATTATTTTTTTATAAAAAAAGCTGTTTATATAAAATAAGGAGAAATTATCACCAAAAACTTCAAATTAATAGTCATTATTATATAAATATACTCGATTTTTTTGCGTAATAAAAAACCCTAAAACCGTCCATTACGTCACAAATGCCCAAAACTTTTTTTCAATATCGTAAAAAATCCGGAACTTATACCGGTGTAACTTATATACCCTCTATTACAGTTCTATCTAGGGTATATTTATTACACCTGCATAACTTCAGAGTTCTTTACGATACAAAAAAAAGTTGGGATATTTTCGTGTCACGATGGGCAAGTTTTGGGTTTTTAGCGTCTCAAAAAAAAATATGGGATATTTGTTTCACAGTAAGTATAATTTGGGGTTTTTCACGGTGTTAACCTTAAAAATAAAAGAACGAATTTCTTTATAAATTTATGAAATTTTAAGGAAAAAGCAAAAAGAGGTCCCTAAGGAGGAGTGATGATGGATCCCAACAAACACGAAATATTCAAACTATAGGGGTTGGTCGAATTCGGTATCGGCATTTGCCGAGGGCGGTTCATTCGGGGTCACCTCACGTTGGCAAATCGGTAAGGAAGGTTCCATGTTTTTTTTTGCTTATTTTCCATCTTGTTTTCATTATCAATTTACAAGTGGAACCCTTGACTTCCATTGAAAGCCACTAAATTATCATTCCGCTCCCTTGCTGGATTCCAATCAACAGGCGACTCATTCACATGCGACTCAGCTAATGTTATCAGTGTATTCTACTCTTCCAAATCCCGTTTAGCAAGGTCAAAGTGAGTGCTCTTCCCATGGCACCTTCCACTAGATTATTGGAAAAAGAGCTTCTGTCTAGCTCAGTGAACAGGTCTCTCCAATGCCTTCAATGAGAACTAATAATTGGGTTGTTAGAGATGATGGTTAAGGGTTTGATATTTGATAATGACCGGAGATTGCTCCACATTGCTACTTGGAAACGGAATATCGAGAGATGGTCTTGCCACGACAGCGACGTGCCACCTTAGCCCGTTTCGGGTTTTTAGCGATTCATTCCACAGTAGCCGACACGGCTATGAGCACGCAGCAGGCTCGGTTAACGTGAATTTTTGTACAAATTTTAGATCGAGATCGATCGGTCGAGAGTCGTGAGAGGGCAAGATTAGGTGGGAGATGGGGGGTGTCGGTTTGGGAGGGAGGGAGGGAGGAGTCATTCGTTCTTTGTTTATTGAGAGTGGCTGTACTGAAGTTGCTTGCGCAGCCTAGTGATGAGGGATGCAGCAAGGTGAAAATCGTGATTCATCGGACGGATGGTTAGAGATTTAGATTTGGAAACTTCTGTATAGGATTCAAAGTTGTTGTGGTAAGGATATTTTGTTAACCTAATCATTATTATTTTGTTATATGTATGGCCAACTTGCAAAGCCATGGATTCAACCTATAAGACAATTTCATCATTATTCTAAGGTGCTGCCGCCAAACGTGTTTGATTATGACAGAGATTATCATCATCATCATTTGAACCAAGCGACCTCCTCTTTGGTTTATGTTAATGGCGTCATTTTCTTTTGGGGGTAAGTGCATTAGAAGTCCTAAAACTTATTACAAAAGTGCAATTGAATCCTAAAACTTTCAAAAAGTGAAAACAAGTCCTAAAACTTGTCATGAAAGTGCACTTGAGTCCTAAAACTTTGAAAAAGTGCAAATAAGTCCTAAAACTTGTTGCGAAAGTGTAAACAAATCCTAAAACTTATCACAAAAGTGCAAACAAGTCCTAAAACTTTCAAAAAGTACAATCAATGGAAGGACTTGATTAAATCAATTTGACAAGTTTTAGGACTTGTTTGCACTTTCGTGACAAGTTTTAGGACCTGTTTGCACTTTTTTAAATTTTTAGGATTCAAGTATACTTTCGTGATAAGTTTTAGGACTTGTTTGCACTTTTTGAAAGTTTTAGGACTCAATTACACTTTCGTGACGAGTTTTAGGACTTTGAATGTACTTATCCCTTTTCTTTTGTATTTGTAAGACATCGTTTTCTGTACCACGGTATTTAGAAGTTCTTGAAAGACCATGGCACTTCTGCTTCCCTCTTGAATCTCACCAATGTGTCGATCTGGGTTAGGAAAACCTGCATGTCCGACCGGGTCAAGATAAATAATCGAACCGACCCTGATGCCCGAAAATATTAATATAAATCCTATCGGAGTGAATATTGGGTTAATTTTGTTTTTTTGCTTTGCTTTCTCCTACCTCAAGGACATGTTTGATAACTCGATTAGATGCCAAAGATATATGAAACTTTGCATGTTCGAAGTAAATGGATTTTGCGGTAAATTAAGAAAAGCAATGTCGAAAATACACGTGAAAGTCTTGAGCTCTCGAATACCCCTTTTCCCCATTTTCTTGTGTGAGAATTTCGAGGTCCAAATCCCATGTCAAGACATCATATAAAGGTCGTGTTGTCTATAGCTTTGGCAGTATGGTTTCACCAAGTCGCCTTGTGGAAAATTTTCTTAGATGATCCGGGCGCATGTGAGCCCAATGCATCTGAGCCCTTAGATTTAGCGGATCTCACGTAAGACTCACATGATCTAAAGATTGAGATATGCCAGATCCACGTGCTCCGTAGCATCCAAGAATGTCTTGCTTTTGTGATTTTGTGCGTTCGGTTCCGTAAGCGCGTGTTTCGATAATTTAGGAGGGGAAGAATGGCATGATTGACAAACGGTTGGGTAGTCTGGGAAATGAACTGCTACTATGTTCAAACGTATTTTTAGCTGATTGAAGACGAAAGTTCATAAGAAAATTCTTATGCTGATTATCGACTCGCACGATCGAGCCCTTCCCGCATGAATTTTGTGAAGGTGGTCGCATGTAATCTTTTTCATGCTGATAAATTGGTAACGCTTCTAAGAAATCCAATATCTAAAGCTCATCAGCATGAGGGCAAGCGTGCTTATTAGTGATTTGCACTCATACTTCATGCGAGACGTTTTTGTTTCCATTGAGCTCGTATTCATGGAAGGAAAGTGTAGGCAAAAGGGGGAACGATTACCGTAGAAGCCATAAACCTGTTATACGGATGCCAATTTAGTCCTGAACTTCTCGATTTGGTCAATTTAATCCTAAATCTTTGGACGATTTCCCAATATAGTCCTTTTGCACGGATGTCGGCTGTCTTACGTGGCACGGCTCACGTTGACGTGGACAATTTATGCAATTTTTCTTGAAAAAATTAAAATAATGCAAAAAATATGTCAATGTCAGTACTAGCCGTGCCACGTGGAATGTCCGGTGTCCATGTCGACGATTCTCAGCCAAAAATTGACCGAAATGACTATATTGAGAAAACGTCAAAAGATTTCAGACTTTGTCTGTCCCGCAAAAAACGAATGATTCGAAAAAAAATTTCTTGTAAACAATCGATTGTATCACTCAGAGAGATGAATGAATGAATGAATGGAAAATATGTCGATCGCACGCGAATGGAATCAAGATGAGCAATGGGTATAAATGAACATGAACCAAAGAGGGGAGGAAAGATCCAAACTCTCCAAAAAAAGCAGCTACCACCACCCCTTCCCAACTTAGAAGCAAAATTTGAAATCAAAAGATTAAGAAAAAAATTAATTAATTAACCCCTCCCACATTAATCACAATACCACCACCCCCACCCTACAAAGACGAAAATAAAAACCGATATAAAAATGGAAAAAAAGAAAAAAAAAGAAAAGAAATGCAACCGTTTACTTTTCAAACCCAAATGTCAATGTCATTTCCGTAAATAAACCCCAACTCCGGCCCTTCTTTCCAATGCCCCAGCAGCTTAAATACGACGGACAGCCACCCCCGTTTCACACTCCGCCTCAGACCCCGCCCCCCTCGCACTTCTTCTCGCCGGAGAAACAGTTTTCCGGCGACCGGCCGTTCTCTCTCTCTCTCTCTCTCTCTCTACCGAGAAGCCTTCGCTTCTCGTTCCGATCTCGGGAATTCCGGGCCTCCGATCGCTCGACCGATCGTCCCGAGATCGAGCCGGAAGGGGAAAAGGCGCGAAGAAACGAAGCCGGACGGGCAGCGCGCTCGCGCGAGAGGGAGGGAGGGAGGGAGGGGGCAGGCGGAACCGGAATGGGGTCGGAGCTGATTTACCGGGGTCACGACGCGCAGCCGGTGCCGGACCCGTACTCACCGAAGCCCGACAAGCCGTGGCAGCCGGTGGCCCGCGCGATCCGGTACCTGCTCCGGGAGCAGCGCCTCGTGTTCGTCCTCGTCGGCATTGCCATCGCCACGCTCCTCTTCACCGTGTTCCCCAGCGGCACCTCGACCCTCTCCGGGTACGGATCCGGGGCCTACGACCCGATCCCGGGCGCCCACGTGGCCCACCACAGCAGCTTCAACCGGTTCGAGAGCGAGCACGCGGTGTACCAGCAGCGCGCCGGGTTCGGGTCGGTGAGCGGGAAGGTGCCCCTGGGCCTGAAGCGCAAGGGGCTGCGGATCGTGGTGACGGGCGGGGCCGGGTTCGTGGGGTCGCACCTGGTGGACCGGCTGATGGCCAGGGGGGACAGCGTGATCGTCGTCGACAACTTCTTCACGGGGCGGAAGGAGAACGTGATGCACCACTTCGGGAACCCCCGGTTCGAGCTGATCCGGCACGACGTCGTCGAGCCGCTCCTCCTGGAGGTCGACCAGATCTACCACCTGGCCTGCCCGGCGTCGCCGGTCCACTACAAGTTCAATCCCGTCAAGACCATCATATCCTTCCTATCTTGATCTTCCGTGCCGGTCGATTTTTATCTTTTCGAAAGTTTGAATTTTGAATCTTGTTATCTGGGGTGATTGAATTCTTGCATCGCGGGTGAGTTTGGGGTCCTTAATTTGGGGTGATCTTACAAGACGAACGTGGTGGGGACGCTGAATATGCTCGGGTTGGCGAAACGGGTCGGGGCGCGATTCCTGCTGACGAGCACGAGCGAGGTGTACGGAGATCCGCTGCAGCACCCTCAGGTCGAGACTTACTGGGGCAATGTCAATCCCATCGGTACGCTCTCCCTTTCCCTCTCTCACATGGGAATTCTGAGTTTGGCTGCCGTCGGAGCGGCCGCGTGATAATAGCAAAGTATTAGTATCACCATCTATACTAATTTTGTTGTTTGGGCCCAATTACCCATTTGTGCCATTTCCGGTGAAATCTTTGACTGAAAACGTAAATTTGTTCGATATGAGCTGAATAACAGGGTTAAGTCAGTATGGTAATGAGATTCCTTCATGCTGTCCCAAATGGAAAAAAAGGGTCATGACAAGTCCAATTCTTTTTCGTTTGTCTGAACTCTGAATCGTTAGCTATCATAAGGGTCTTCACTCTCGAGTCGATGGATCTGGTATTCGAGCTCAACTCTACATTGGGGGAGAAAAGCAATTTCTTTTCGGTCCTCAGAAGAAGTCCCACTTGGGGGTCTGTCAAAGTTTTGCTCGTGGAACATAGTTGAGCCCTTGAGCTTGACAGAGAGAGAGAGAGAGCTAGGGAGAGAAAGACCTGAGAACCCAGAGCCGGGCGGCTGAGATTAAATCAGGGGGATCAGAAGTAGGCAGGTGGGGCCAGATGTGGGGAGAGATCTGACAAAGGATCCTTTTTTGTTGTTGGGGCGAGACAGGTGTCCGAAGCTGCTACGACGAGGGAAAGCGTACTGCCGAGACGTTGACCATGGACTACCACCGAGGAGCCGGCGTCGAGGTAAATTTGTCCGCTTTTACAATTCATTTCTTTCCTTGTTTTTTTGGTTACTGAGAAAAAGAAAAAATCGATACCATGAGAAAACGGGTCCTCCCCAGATGTTAAATTCTGTAAGATCTAATATAATTCTTATAGAATTGAGGGATGAGGGTCCAATGCGTGTCTCTCTGTGTGTGTCTGTGTGCAGGTGAGGATTGCCAGGATCTTCAACACGTACGGCCCTCGCATGTGCATTGATGACGGCCGTGTCGTCAGCAACTTTGTCGCTCAGGTACTTCTCCCTTCTTTTTCCTCTCTTTTTTTTATTTCTCTTCTTCCCCCTCTTGCTGAGTAAAATATGAACACGCGTATTTGCTGAGTAAAGATTGGAGCTTTTTCGGATCGGTGGTCTGAAAACCGGCTTGTTTTTTGGGTTGGAAGTGTCCTCGTCAAGTGAGAGAGAGAGAGAGAGAGTTTGATGTTGATGGGTGTATGCATTTTGAGAGGAATATGTGTGGAAATCATGATTTGCGGCAATGATGCAGGCATTGAGGAAGGAACCGATGACCGTCTATGGGGACGGGAAGCAGACAAGGAGCTTCCAATACGTGTCTGACTTGGTAAGCACGACTCATTCTAAGCTTTATTTAATTTTATGGATCAATTTGGAATTCTTTTTTCTACTCTTGTGTCAGTCAACAAAGCTCAATCCTTTTCTTTCTAGATCTCAAAAGGCACTTTCTTTTTATTTCTTTCTCTCTTCTTTTTTTTTTCTTTTAAATTTTCAAATCTGGCTTTGCTGATGAAAGTGAACTGAGAACATCCAGGCCAAAAACGAAAAAAAAGAAGAAAACTGAGACATGCTTGGCTTCTCCCCTCATGTGTTTGCCCCATGTAAAAGCCAAAGACAAGTAGTGTGCAAGCACATGGCATGTGATTGGATATGTCCAGAGTCCAGACAATATAGGAAAGATGCACTGTTATTCAGTACCCATTAACAAAAACTGTGAAATCACAGCAGGGTTTGAAGTGATTCTCTTTTTATCATGAAGAACCTGCAAATTTTTTTCATTTTGTTTCCTTGGCCTCGGGCAGTACCTTTTTTACTTCATTTTCTGGTTGACTTGGTCTATAGCGCCGAGGCTACACATGACTTGGGCCACTGCTATGCCCTATCTGGGCCACTTGTTAGTTTTGTTTGGACAACTTTGGACCACATATATTGATTACTGATCAGATTAGGTTAGGTTATTCTGGCATTCTATGGTTTTCACTGCATATCTTTGCCCTTTGCAACATTTAATCAAGTGGGTGCTTTCGGCAACGTTGCCGACCCTATGTTCATAAATGAGGGTGGGGATCTTTGTGTTTCTTTCAGCATTATTGACATTCGGAGAAACAAAAATTCTCTCTTTGAGATATCGGTTATCTGAAAGGTCTTTAAACAATCAGCTGCCTCTGGCGTTGGCAGAGCAGACACTCCGCTACTCTTGAAAAACTCAATCATGAAACTAAGTCACAACGCAAAAGTGGGCAAAATATGATGGTTGCTGATGAAAAATTAGTTAGGTAACGTGTGGATTTGTTTGCATTGGCATTGCATCTTGATTACTGCTAGTATAAGGCAAGAGCATACCTTAGTTATCTACTAACTTAGCAGTGATGTCTCATTCTGCAATGTGGTGCACGTGACAATAGGTGGAGGGCCTGATGCGTCTGATGGAAGGCGAGCATGTGGGACCTTTCAATCTTGGAAATCCTGGTGAATTCACCATGCTTGAACTTGCTGAGGTAAAGTGAACAATTTTCATAAGACATCCTTTTAAGGCGATGTTTCACTGCTCGTCTGCTCTGATCTTTGCGATCTTTACATCAGCTGCAAATGAGATTATAGAAAAATCAAATGGGATTTGCTAGTTCTCGAAATGCAACACGATATGATATAGTTTTGTCATTCGTGCGCTGGCAGGTGGTGAAGGAGACAATCGATCAGAGTGCAAAGATCGAGTTCAGGCCAAACACAGAAGATGACCCGCACAAGAGGAAGCCCGACATCACAAGGGCAAAGGAGTTGCTTGGCTGGGAGCCGAAGGTTCCGCTCCGCAAGGGTCTGCCTCTTATGGTATCCGACTTCCGACAGCGCATCTTCGGAGACCACAAGGAAGGGGTCACATCTGGCAGTTCTATGTCTTAGGTGAGCGCATTATACAGTGAAACGAGATGGTGGGGGAAGGATCAAGAGAAATTGTGTGGGTCGGCACGCTAGAACTTCCCCCGGACCTAGAAATCATAAGTACCGGCACAGATGGTAGCGAAGCATGAACTCCTTACGTTCTCTGTGGAACTAGCTTTTTAGTGGCATAATCTCCGATTCAATATATTCACCATCTTTGTAATTTTCATGTTACTATCAACCGTGGATTTATAGAGATGAAGTTTCTAAATTCTTTTTTCATTTGTCCTTTTTGGCCCTTTTCTTGCGCATGTGAGGAATGCCATAATACATCTAGTCCTGTAATTCTCTTCAGCTCCAGCAATATATGACTGAGTTTCCTGTGTTACCTTCTCTAACTTGCAATCTTTACATTTTGCAACGACCCGAGATAGAACACGTTCTTGTCATGCACTTCACAATTTGTAACCATATCGCTACAAAGTCTCGAGTGTTAGGAAGTCAGCTTGATTGATTTGGAAGCCGGAAGTAACTCGATGGTCCCAAAATGCATAGAAAAGAAAACTATTCACAGGCATCCAATAGAATCGGCCGGATACCGTGAGTCCCGTCATTACTGTGCCTCGCTCCTCAAAACTAAAAGATTATCGAATGGGATAGTCCCATGTTTGGACCTTACTCCCACGGGCATTATTCGTCTGTTGACATTAGGACATGATCTTCAACGGCCAAGGAATCGAGTTTCAAGTGAATAGCTATTGGCAAGCCTCAAAAGAAAAAAGTGAAGTTTCGAGCGAATCCCTCTTGTACCTAGACCAGCTTTGTCTGACTTAGGGGTGATTGATTCCCGATCCGGTCCAGTTCCCGACCGGTTGGTCCTAGGACCAGTTCTCAATTTTGGGTTCCGGTCCGGTCTAACGAAACCAGTCATTTTTTTCGTTCTAGAGAACTAAACGGTAACCATGACGTGTGTTATGCTAAAATGGTTGACTAATCCAATTATACACGTCAAAAGATCACTAATCTTTTTTTTTCTCATTTTTTTTTTATCATTTTTCATTCATAATGTAAATAACATGGATCGATATTAATGCCAAACTAAACATGCAAACTACATGGTAAACTGAGCATGAACTTCACAAATTTAACGGAAGGTGAACATGGATTCAATGCGATGCTTTCCTACATGAATGTATCTGCTTGGGTGACCCAAATGACGAATAGATGACACCAAACAACCTTCAACTCAGTTCCCATCGAGCCTGGACAGCACACTCCTCGTCCATATCCGGCAAATATAGGACACGTACAGGCAAGGACTGGATGAGGAATTATCGCGAATCAAACGCGGTTTGTTCCTAGATTGTGAACCAAGGTGAATTATAACATATTTACAGCTCGAAATGTAACGGTTTGACAAGAAATGAACACGGTATCATTAGCAAATGAATCCAATGGAACTTGCCTCAATTATAGGAATTATCGCATCAAACACGGTTTGTTCTACAGTCTCGAAATGTAACGGTTTGACGAGAAATGAACACGGGTATCATTACGACACTCTCCTATATGAATCTACATGTTCAATGGAACTTGTCCAGTCCAATAGTTGTCCGTCCGTGGTTCCACGGACACGTACAGGCAAGGACTGGATGAGGAATTATCGCGAATCAAACACGGTTTGTTCCTAGATGAATGCGAACCAAGGTGAATTATAACATATTTACAGTCTCGAAATGTAACGGTTTGACGAGAAATGAACACGGGTATCATTACGACACTCTCCTATATGAATCTACATGTTCAATGGAACTTGCCAGTCCAATAGTCGGTCCAGATCGGTCCGGTTCCCCCTTGGGACCGGGAACCGGACTGACACTCCTGGAAACCGGACCCAACTGGCCGGTTCGGTCCGGTCCAAGCGGTTCCCAATTCGGACGGTCCGTTTTGCACACCCCTAGACTGACTTGGGATTGCATGAACAAACCCACCGGACCAAATCCAAGGACATCAGAACCTCCAATAGAAGCACTCTCCAAATCAAATACCGAACTGATTCTAGCAAACCAAGAGTAAAGCAAAGACTGCAGAACCACGAACATAGCAATAAGCATTCCATATGGCAAATGAGTTGATTGAAAGTTTAGAGCGATAAGCATTTCATTGTACATCAGAAAGTCAGAGACTATCAACCTTGTCGCAAGAATTACACCGATGAAAACACTCTCTCCAACACATTAGAAGCACTACTTCAAGGTAATAGAAGTTCAAAAACTACTAGAACAGCCACGGCATTGCCTGGAGGAGATCACAAAAATCTACTACACCTCATTTTGGATTCCTCAGAACGATGATAACAGAGTCTCCCCGCAGGAACATTTTGCTGATGAACCTATCTTTGTTGACAGGCATGGCTTTCTTCTTACCCTTGCCGGTTTTTGGCACCTGAAATTGATGAACACTAAATGAATAAATTTAACCAACTTGAAAAAGATAAAACACATCATAATTAATTGACAGGGAAAGACAACCTCAGTCCACATCTCCCTAACATTTTCAAGAACCATGTTGCAGTGTCGATCAAAAGCTCTCACGCGACCCAGGAGCTTCTTGTTGTTCCGGCAATTAATGAGCACCTGAAAAGACGATGAATCATCAAAAACTTACTCAAAGCCACGTTAGCGTTGCAGGTATTGGATTGATGAATACTAACTCATTCACTCCAAGAATTTTGTTTGTCGAACAATTAATACAGACTGACAAGCACAAACAGATCTTTAAGGTGCTTCCCAGATCGATACCACCAGGACTTGTGCACACTAAATACCTAGTAATCAGAAACCATCATGATTCTGAAGTAGAGTCCTCTTGGTTAATCCATGTGCAACTACCACTTACCTCAGTGTACTTCTTGCTGAATAAAAAAAGAAAATTGTATTCCAGTCTCACAAGATTAGGTTCTCTACCATCCTAGTTGTCGCACAAAAGATTCTCCACTAAAATGTTTAGCTAAGTTTACTCATCAGTACTCTGTACCATTTGGTAAAAAATATCTGGTCCATGAAAACATCACTGTAGATGAAGAACTTATGTGAGGAAACACTAAGATATAGTACCTGGGTATTGTTCTTAACACTCATCATCAGCACTGACAGTGGGCCTGTATTAAATTCCTCTTCCTCATTCTTGCCAGCCTGTACCAGAAGGTGAGAGCTCAGTCATTGCGAAATTATATTCATGATAATGAGTACACTCAAAAGTCAAATCAAGCACAAATTTAAAACACCAAATGTAAAGATACTGAGATCAAACAGTTGAAGTATTCCCCCCCCCCGGAAATAATCATATTATAACCAAATTCTAATTACAGCGACAAGTTTTAAATGTCTTTGTCAGGCGGACGTCCATACATTCCTTTAAGCAATCATTAGAAGGGGAAATTACAAACTTATGTTTTCTTGCAGATCTCCAGTTATATCCATTAAATGGGTTTATAATGCACGCGCACAATATTTCACTGGAAAAATAGCATGAAGATAAAGCTTATGATTTCCAACGAGCATTCAATCTGGAAAATTTGCAGTTCACAGTACACATGAATCCTGTCATGACTCATTATTTACTCATGTAGATCACAAAATCACCTCATAAACAATTTCAGTGCAGAAGCATTTACAGTAAACAGAAAACCCTCAAAGGATAGCAGAACAGACTAGTTGAATCAAAAGCATGAGATAACAGAGATTTGTAAGATCACTTACGGTGGCATCTTCCTCCATTGCTCTACTGCAAGAGCAGAAAGATGGAAAAACAATGTGTCAGAGACTATCCTTGATTACTACTACAAAATGTACGAAGTAGAAAAATTTTGATAACAAATAGATGTCTACCTTCATGTAGTAAAAAGCAAAAGCTGACTGAAAGGAACATCTATAGGTCGACAAAAAATAATAAACAAGTAAAGGAACCCTAAATCCTAATAAAAGGGGGAGTTCATTGAGATCATACTACTACAAGAAAAAGTTACTGCTTTAAACGAAAATTGAGAAAACTGCAGTCATCAATTGGCAGACACACCTAAATTAGGAATTACAAACAGAAAAAACAAGGGCTACGCCCCCAACCCCGTACCCCATCTCCAAATAAAAAAGGAGGAAGAAACACAAAATCAACCAATCTACCTGTTTAAATTGATGGGTTAGAGTCGACACGACCTGATTAGTTGAAAGACTATTATTTCCTCGTTATTCACGATTGAGATTTTAATTGACTTAACGAGTGTGTAATCTCTATATTTTATAGATTACATACAGGGAAATATACTGAAAATTTTCAGGTCGTATCGATGTCTCGACGGTAAGCACGCAAATCACTGTTGGGTTTGCCGATCCGTTCTAGTATACCCTTACGTAGGTCGTCAAAACGACACAAACACATCTGGCAAACAAGAATTTCCACCCCTAGGATGAAGCTCGTAATCATGACAGCTGACAAATAGGGCAAGTGCCCCCAAAATAGGAAATCAGAAATGAAATTCAGTACAGCACATTAAGAACTTCTTAAATGCCACCGACAGAGAACTTCACAGGACAAATTGGATGGTGAACCGGTTATAATAACTGACATATGGCGGAATGAATTATGCAGGAAATATCTTTGAAGACTCAGTATCCATCTTTTTCAACGATATAGCGGACTGGTTTAATTAGGAAATGGATTAATTGATTTGTATCGGGTCAAAAAGTGGTAGGTGCACCCACAAGCATATCTGCTTGCTTAAAGCATAAAGTGTCAAGGGATGACAACATCGCAGATTTAACAACAAAGAGAAAAATGTAATCCATAGCCTTGAACTTTCAAATTAAGCTTTTGTTGATGGATCAAAAGATGAAACTCCGGTTTATGATAAACAAGTAGGAGTCCCTTATTCCACCCTCTGTTTTTCGATCTATGCACATCGGCTTGTCCATATCTTACCAGGTGGCAACAACTTGGCAAGTGAAGTAAACCCATGATAAACATTAAACAGAGAAAAATCAAGTTCTAGAAGACTACTGGACCTTGACACCAGTGATGCACATATTCGAATGGAGTCACCTTTTCACCTAAAATTTCATCCCGACAGCGTTCTCTCTAGGCACAGGCATACCCCTTTACTCACAAAGCATAGGTTCCCAAAACAGATCTCACAATTTCCTACACTAAGCCCCTCATATCTGCAAATCGGCAAATACATGCGCCGTCGGCTACCGCAGCATTGCTACTCAGTCAAGGCTCTCGAGCAATAAAGACTAAAAACTTCACACGAGAAGGCAAACTATCCAGGGAGAAAACGCGGCGGCCGGCAAATGATTCGACTTAGTTACAGCCCTACACCGCCCTCGAAAACACGCTCCCTAAGCGACGGAACCATCCCGCCAGCTAACCCGCGCCCTAGCTAAACCCTCGATCGCGAACACGTTAGGGTTTTCTCAAGCGACAAAGCAGAGCCGCGACGAACGTAAATTGAAGATCGCGAAACCGAGATGGAAAGGGAAGCCTCGGCGTACCTCATGTCTGCTCAGGAAAAAACCAAGCGTGTACCTGCAGAGGAGAGCGAAACGGGAGTTAGGGTTTTCGACGGCGCGGGACGGGAGAGAGAGGCTCGACAAAGGCCAAAAGAAAAGTGAAACAAAAAAAAAAAATCAAAACTTTCGAAGCCAAATGGCAAAGCGCTAACGTACACAGAGAGACGGAGAGACAGAGAGAGAGCTCACCGGCGCAGTTAGGGTTCCGCCGCGGAGGTTCCTCGGGGAGGCTTTTGCTCTCCGTCGCGACGGTGGAGGAAGAAGAGGGAGGCTACTGCGCGGGGTGTGAAGAAGTAGAAGAAGACGAGCCCAGACGAAAGGAAAAACGAGAAATCGCGAGGGTTTTAGATGTGGCTGGGGAACGTGTACGGTGGTGATCGGAGGTAGGCAATGATGAGATCTGACGGTGGACGGCTGCTCCTTACTCTGAGCGCGGAAGCAGCTTATCACGCGCCGTGGCCCCCCACGGTCAAGTAGGCCCGATTTTGGGGCGGGTTTGGGCCTTTCGAGCCCAAGGCCCGAACTTTTCCGGGCCCCGGCGACTCTTTCGGCTTCTTGAAGAGCCCGGCCCGAAAGCAAATGCTCTGAGAATTTTTAAATCCCTGTCTTAAACTCAAGACATGAACACCTTACACTAGGGGGAGTGTCGTACGTAGTATTTAGATTGTAAGGACCTAAGTAATGAGTGACGAGTAAATCGCGGAATAAGCGCGCGTGACCGGTTAAATTTTTGCTAAAAACGACGTGCTGCGTGTGCTATTGCCTTCATCTGAGGATCGTCGAATGCTGCTTAGGGGATGTAAAGAAGTTAGAAGACATGTAAATTCAAACAGAAATTCGAGAGAATTTCGAAACTCTCGCGACGAGAACAGAAAGGAAAACTTGAAAGTCATGACCCTTTTATAATTAGGAGGTGCACACTTTAGTCACAAAGTCGATGTGTTATGTTTGTGTTCATCTTGCTCCCCCAATTAATTGATCCACATAGGAGGTCGGATCCATTTCCGTGGATCCATTCCCATCACGGAAATGGATCCGTTTCTAGTTGGATGATTTCATTTACCTGAACAGTGAGAACCGGTGTTTTTTAACCTGGACCGGCCAAAGAATCGATCTAGCTTCCGGTTCGGGGATCCAATGTTAAACAAAAGCTCTTAGCTCGATCGGGTTTCGGAGTTCGGTGTGCATGTTTGGAGTTAGGGCTTCCAGTTAAGCCGCCGGCTGGTTATTGAGCGCCCCGGTTATCAACTAAAAAACCGGACATCATAGTCCAGATAAGCTTATCCGACGTCTTATCCACACCCTAATTTGGTCTAAAGTGTACCGCCCAATGCCACATAAAACAAGCTGAAAAGGTTTCGCCAGAAGCGATCAGCCTAGATGTTACATTGCAAAACCTCAGCAAGATGTCTCACCAAAGCTCTTCGTTTAACGAAATGTCATATCGGGTTTAACTTCTGAAGTTGTGTCTGTAAACTCAATCAGTGACGAAGTGCATGTATGCTTCACCAATCACCCGATAGAAAGCTTTCCAAGTGTTAGTAACTTGAATCCTTTTCAGTAGGATCATACAGCCTTCATTATTCGTTAACATCCAACGAAAGTCGAGTTTGCATTTGGATGGTCCATCGGGTTTCCACACGAAAACGTTATCTGGGAACGTCTTTGTGAGCCTCTCTGTCTGAGCATCACAGTGTCAAGACAGAGATCACATGGCAGAGTGCTGGGACAAGCGCCGCCCCTTCAATCCGCACAAGTAGCTTCCGTTCCGCTGCCTCCGCTTGCCATTCATCACCGCCGCCCCCGGCAAGGACGTGGCGAATCTCTCGATGAAGCCGCTGTTGCTCGATGGGAGGACGGGGTTGGCGGGGAAGGAATCTGCGTCGGTGTCCATGTTGCAGCGCCTGTCGAGCCAGGCGATGATGTCGGAGAAGACGATGTCGATGTTGTCGTCGGGCTCGCCGGAGGTGAGGCCGTGCCACATGCCAGGGTAGAGGCGGATGGTCTTGTCCCTGCTGCTGGCCTGCTCGTACAGGGCCTTGCTCACTTCCGGGTCCGTCACCACGTCCGCTTCCCCGTGCAGCACGAAGAACGGCAGAGTCACCTGCATTGCAAAGAGTCATCACCATCCTAAATCAAAGCTCGAGCAGCCACAGAGAAGACAGGTTTGCGCACTCAACAACGCTGCTTCGAACCGATATACCACAACATATTTCGTGCGGCTCTCTAAAACAACAATTTGTGACAGATTTGCATCCGTCACCGCGAGCGAATTAATGTGGAATGACTCAGTGAAACATAGAGCCTTCTAGTTGATAATTATCATTAGGCGAAAACTCTGGTCTTATTGACAGAACAAGAGAAGTACATGTCTCAATTTTGTTTTCAAGATCTTGATTGACATCAGAATGAGTCTGAAAATGTCCTGTTCACAAATTGGACACAAACAAATCGAGGTTCGGGTCTATAGTTCCGAAGCCAGAAGTCAATCTATCTAATCAAATGTTGGCTACTGCCTCCTGGAAATGCATGCGCAAAATGTCCAAGTTTAGCGGAAATGATTCGATGCTTCTGTTATCTGTTAAGGATGACTTAGAAAAAGAGACAAATTGAGTATGATGAGACTGCGGCGAAAGTGAAAATATCAAGTGTTACCTCATGTAATGTGTCTTCGAGTCTCATGCTGACTCTGAGCATCTCCAATGCCGTTTTCAGCCGTGGCTTGTCTTGATATATCAACTTGTTGCTTCTCAACTACAAGCATCATTGGAATCACAAGCATAATGTCACTACCTATCTGCTCGGCTGAACCAAAACAAAAAAATCGATGCACGAAGTAGAAGCAGGCAATGTTATCGACCTGTTCTCGCTTGATAGGGTCTTTGAAGGCAGAATCGATGACATCCTTTGTTGGGACTATCTTCCATTTCGGTATGATCTCTTCCACCTTCGTCAACAGGTTCACCACCACCGGGTGCGGCTTCACCTTCTCTGATATCTGCACATTTTAATGTCATGCCAAAACAAAAGAGGCGTCACTGTGTCAGATCGGCCGAATTGATGAGATACCTAATACTTGCATAGTCGGATTCGAGTTAATGGCCATCCACACAAGCACTTGTTGTTACCTTGCACATGGGCGCCACGAGAACCGCGCCAGTCCAAAATGCAAGGTCTTTCTTGTGGAGAAGCAGCGCAACAGCTCCTCCCATGGACTCTCCATACAGGAACCTGCTCTTGCCTCTGTACTCATCTTGAGCTGAAACAATGTTACAGAGTTGGCCAAAGTTAAGTAGGACACACTGCATTAGGTCTCATTCAGAAAGAACCAAGTAGTAAGAGATTGTGCCTTACCGCAAACGGACTTGAAGAAATCATCGCAGTCATTGATTATGTTATCGAACTTCTTGATGTAACATCGGGCTCCCATGGAACGGCCGTGACCCTCATAGTCGATCCCAAACACCCCGAATCCTGCTCTGGCCAATCTTGTTCCACATTCTGCCAATCATATCACCAAAACCACACAAATGGATTGAGCTCCAAAACAGTGTCTCCATTTCAGATCACTTGCAGTGTACATTACAATGAACCATTCTGGGATTGAAACGAGCATGCGATGTCCACAGCTTGTCCCGTTCCAAACCGTGTCCCCACATCTCCAAACAGAAACGAAAGAGAAAACCACCTATTTAATTAACATCTGTGGTATGCTTTATTATGAGTTTGCATGGCCAAAAGGTGAGTTTCCTCTGATTCAAGTAGTTGACAAATTTTGTCACACAGTATGTAACATTGAACTGAATTAGACCGGCCCGGTTTAGCTACATGAATAGCTTAAATATGGAAGATCAGTTAACAAAGGAGCGGTTGCTCTGTCCACCTGAATCATCCCAATTAGTCTGTACTTACATTTCCATCTCAAAACAATGTGCACACAAGTAGTCGCAAGGGGAAATGTTTCGAACAGGTCGCTCGTGAACATAATCATCTTCACGTGACGTTAGACAGAATCAAAACTCCCAGTTACATTGGGATCGTCAAGACCGATTGGGAACATCTAAATTATGAGGAAGGGGACAACGAAAGAAGCCTTGAATAGGATGAGACTGATGATGAACAAAGTGATAAATTATGACGAGGAAAAGTTCAAGGATTGGTCAAGAATGGGATAAGAAAGAACAGGACAACCAGCGCCCATGCCCGAGAGACAGGCCACAAAAGTCCACCAAACAAGCCGCCTTCATGTCCTGAAACCGATGAACATGGAAAGAAGATAACAGGGAAAATTGTCCAAACAGTCCTTAAACCTATTGCACTTTCGCCAATTCAGTCCTAAACCTTTCAATTTTACCAATTGAGTCCTAAACTTTTTCATTTCTTGCCAGTTGAGTCCTAAACCTTTTCATTTCTTGCCAATTGAGTCCATTGGGCCAAAATTGACCGAAAATCGCTGACGTGGATGCCGAACGGCCACGTGACACTGACGTAGACATTTTTAAATAATATTTTAATAATTTTATGATTTTTATTATTATTTTTTTCCTTTTCTCTGTTTTTTTTCTGGGTTTGAAATTAGGGCCGGCGAGGGTGGCCGGCCGACCCTCGCCGGCCACGGGCGAGGGCCGACCGACCCTCGTCGGCTCTGGGGGAGAGACGCAACGCCCTTGTCGGCCAAAGCGAGGGCGGGCAAGCCCTCGCCCAGATCCGGCGAGGGTCGCGACGCCCTCGCCAGAACTGGCCAGGCGAGGCACTCGAGCCACCGTGTGACTCGCCTGGGGCCGGCGAGGGCCGCCAAGCCCTCGCCTGGCCAGATCTGGCGAGGGCGTCGCGACCCTCGCCGGATCTGGGCGAGGGCTCGCGCGCCCTCGCTTTGACCGGCGAGGGCGTCGCGGCCCTCGCTCAGAGCTGGCGAGGGCCGCAACGCCCTCCCCTAGAGCTGGCGAGGGCCGCCGGCCCTTGCCCGTGGCCGGCGAGGGTCGGCCGGCCACCCTCGCCGGCCCTAAGTTGAAGCCCAGAAAAAAAACAGAGCAAAAGGAAAAAAAAAGAAGAAAAAAGCATAAAAAAATCATAAAATTATTAAAATATTATTTAAAATATTCAAGTCAGCGCCGCGTCGCCATCCGACGTCCACGTCAGCAATTTCCGGTCAAAATTGGCCAGATGGACTTAATTGGCAAGAAATGAAAATGTTTAGGACTCAACTGACAAGAAATGAAAATGTTTAGGACTCGATTGGCAAAATTGAAAGATTTAGAACTGAATTGGCAAAAGTGTAATAGATTTAGGACTGTTTGGGCAATTTTCCAGAAGATAACGTATCCTATCATATATCTGTTCCGTTCTAAAACGTTCAGGTTTGGTGAAGGAGATGGCACCAATCATAGCAGTCGTGCGAATACATAGACATGGCGACACGACCGAGTTACGATTCCCCAAAAGATCTAAGCGATACTGGGCACAATGAAAGGGAAATTTAACGTACCATAAGGATAGGACAGGAACCGTTCCGATAAGTGAACCTGATAAAAACGACACATACCTAGATCCACTGAATAATTGATAGCAACTTAACCTAAAGACGTACACGCATAGTTTGACTTTGATCAATATTTCTTTTCAAGAAATCCAAGATTGTAGGATCTGTTTGTTCTTGAGTAGAGCACTAGGGGTGAGCGGTTCCTGATCTGGTCCGCTCCAACCCAAGAATCGGGAACCGAACCAGGAGGACTGGTTCCCAGTTTCTAGGACCGGGGACCGGATCGGATAGTCTTGAGACCGTGGACCGGACCGGACCATCGGTCCCGTCCACTCCGGTCCGGTTCTAATGGGACCAATCACTTATTGGTAAAGGTAAGTGGGAATTGGGGAAATTAGATTAGGTTTTCTATTTTTTTCAAAAATTTTAAAAAGTAAATAAATATATATGAAAAAAATTAGAAATATATATATTTATCGGTCCGGTTCCTACCCTAGAACCGGGAACCGGACCGCCCGGAAACCGGTTTCACTTTTAAAAATCGGGAACCGGATCGATATTCCCGAGAACCGAACCGAACTGATCGGTCCGATCCCGATTTGGACGGTCCATCTTGCTCACCTCTAAGGAGCAGCAGCGACCAATGATGTATGTTGGGTGAACAAACATCGTACAACAGATGGCCCAACTGGAAATGTGGCGGAGGATTAATAAGGAAGTTGGAGGACAGTCAACAAACCAGCCTTTTCTCCCAAGGGAAGAACAGGAGAGAGTGGTTGACTTTCCCCTCGTGAACTACTATGATTGACAGCGAGCGATCACCCCCCAAAATCAGCTAATTAAGAGCGTGGGGTCCCATCGATTAATCTCGAATCCACGTTGAAAATCTGATCCCAAATTATTTTCGAGACGCATGTTAAATATACATAAAAATACAAACTTTTTGTTGATAGAGCGTTTACGTATAAATTAATACGTGTCCTTGACATGTTTTGGGGGTAAAGCTCACGGGAAGTGACACGGTGCACCCAAGGCAAAAGCAATTGGATAAACTCTTTTCTAGATTGTGATCTAGTTGAAGGAATGATAGCAGTCCTAGATCATGAAGCAGACCACAAATGAAATATTAGATTAAAAGAAGAATTTTTCATTGCATTTTCTTTCCGTGGCCATCAAAGTTAGTATTGTATTTGCTTCTAGCAAGCAAAGGTAGAAATCACAAAACTTCATCAAGGTCGAGTTTGTAAATATAGAGATTTGTTGAGACATGACAAACGACGTGGTGAGCAGCGACATCCTGATTTTTTTCTGAGGATCAACAGAGGTAATGCTGCCATGAGCAGTCAAGATATTCAGACATATGGATTGCCGAAACTACTTCATCATCAACAGAGAAAGAAAAGGAGCTCAAGAAGAGAGAGAGAGAGAGAGAGAGAGAAGAGGAGAAAGTTGCCGAGAAGAAAAAGGAAAGAAAGGTATACTGTACAGTGACAACATTCGCATTAAATTACCTCTCATGAAGCCACTGCACTCCATGCCATAACCTGCAAACGCCATTAAATGTCCTAACTTTATTTGTTACTCCATCAAACCCCACCAACCAAATTTCACAGACAAGCGCACAGAGAGAGAGAGAGAGAGAGAGAGAGAGAGAGAGAGAGAGAGGGGGAGGGAGAGACCATGGCAAATGAAAACCAGTGCTCTCGGAGAGGACGAGCACGGCAACCATCTGCAGGTGAAGAGCTGAACCCCTCTGGCGTTCTCTACGTACTCCTGCACGCGCACCCCCCACATTTCGTCAGACATCAACACAAGCACGACTCGCATCAGCTCACGAAAGTAGTCCCAAAAAAATCTTAATTTATGCGCAACACATTCTGACACGGTTAAATGCAAGAAAGACACGAAGCATGCGTGTATCTGTGTATATTACCTCCTGGTACACGATCTCCTTCATCCTCATGCGCGGGCAAGTAACATAAGATTATGTGTCGAGTCCAGATCGAGCGGACCGAGCGACCGATGTAAAAAGGCAGGGTGACGAGAGCCGAACTCGAACTCCCGCTCAAAAGGGTCTTCGAGGAGCGCGATTTCAGAGGCTGGAAGGAGAGATATATATTATATCAACGTGTGCTTTTCTTCCCAAGAAGAAGGAGAGGGCAAAAATGGGGAACTTCGTGGAGAGGCAGAGAGGTAAACAATACTTAAATGAACACAACACAGGGATAGTTAATGTATTAAAGAAGCTCTGTGGGGAGAGAGAGAGAGAGAGAGAGAGAAGGAGAGGAGGTGATGTGGAGAAATGGAGAGGGAATTGATTCGCCTGACTTGCGTGCAGGTGGTGGTGGTGGGGAAGATTATATATATAGGAGAAAGGAGATGTGTGGATTTGTGGGTTGCGACCGAGGGAGTCTGAATCGCACGATCCATCCTTATCACGTATCCCAATAATTATGAGGCTATCGACCCATCTAGTTGGGAAAAGGAAATGGAAAAGGAAAAGGAACTATGTTATAGGTACATTAGAATCAATGCAATTATTATATATTGAAGCATGGACCGAGTAAGAGAAAAGTGCTCGCTTCGATGACGAGAGTAAATTTCCCTGTTTCAATCGTGTGCATACAATCCCGTGCTCACTTCAGTACCGCGTGGCTTTCTAATAAAATTGGAAGTCTGGAGTTCTCCCCTCTCTCTCTCTAATCCTAGAAGAGACCAATCTCGGCTCTTGGAAGCTTAAGCTCTCGAGAAGTCACGATTCATCTCCAATGGTGACTGATCCTGTCCAAATCGACCCTAAAGAAGCAGTCTCTGCAGCTCTAACTCCACCTTATAAGCGCAAGCCCAGTCCCCTCCCTCGACGCCACCGCCTTCATCTCCTCTCGTCCCCACCTTGGCTCCACTGTCTTCATCGACGCCTCCTCCGGCCTTCACATCCCCTTCCCCGAGCTTTGGCGCTCGTTGACTCCCTCGCCTCCTGCTTCTCCCCACCAGCCTCTCCACCGTGGGCGTCCCACTCCAATAACATTAGGGGTAAGTATGGTCCGGGTGGGCGATTCCCACTCTAGAATCGAAAATTGTCTACTAAGAACCGGTTTCGAAAAATTATAATTGGGAACCGCTCATTGGTTTCATGGATTCGTTCGGGGACCAGACTATCGGTCTGATCCGGTTCCCGGATGACTACTTGGAACCGATCCCCAATCACTACAAAACTACATTCATCAATTAATAATACAGTGAACCTAATTTCTATCTAGGCTCCTCTTCGTAAGGGCAAAGGTAAGAATAATAAGAAATCTGCGTGAGGGACTTGCCTTTCAAACACGAAATGATGTTGTGATTTTATGATGAATACTCCCATTTTTTCGACATTTGGTTCCATCTCTTGCTTATCATTCGACAGGAAATGATATTATAATTTTAAGATGAATACTCCTATTTATATATATACTAGTCCAGTCTGGATAAACAGGTGGGCGATTCCACGCCTAGAATTGGAAACAAGATCGATACTCACCGGTTCCAGTAAATTAGAATCGGGAACCATGGAAACCGCCGGTTCCAGGCCGATCTGGTCTAGTTCCGGACGATCTGGGCGATTTTCGACTCCTTTCCTTTACACACCCCTAAACAATATTGATCCTCCTCATCATGTGATGTCATTTCTTTAACTCGTTCTACGGTGGACTCCACTAAAAGCATCAAACTGGAAAATGGCGTCACATAAACTTTCGCCCATCGGGTGGAAATAACATATTATGTAGGGGTATGCAAAACGGGCCGCCTAAATCGAGAATCGCCTGAACTAAAGCAGACCGGCCGGTTTGGTCCAGTTCCGGGAGTGTCGGTTCGATTCCCAGTTCCTAAAAGTGAAACCGGTGTCCGAGCTATCCAATTCCTGATTTCAAAGGGGGACCGAACTGGATCAGACCGGACTGACTACTTATACTTTTTTTTATTTTTTATTTCTTCAAAAAAATTAGTAAAATATGAACTAAAATCATGTACAACGCTTTCCTCATATCGTTGCGCCAAAAAGACATTTCACTCATCGTTTCTTCCGTCAATATGTTGAGATTTATCACCCTCTCTCGTTGTGATGGGAAAAAAATAAAAAAAAAATGACCGTTTCCATTTGATCAAACCGGACAGTCCGGTCCTAGGACCAGGTCCAGTCCCCGATTCTCAAAATTGGGAACCAGTCCTCCTGGTCTGGTTTCCGGTTCTACCTTGGAACAGAACCGGATCAGGAACCAATCACCCCTATTATTTTGTGTAATAAAAATGATGTTTGGAAACCCAAAAAATTTAGAGAATCTTATCTATGATCCTTGAGTAATTTCACGATTAGTGGTACCAAATGCAATTATATTTGCATTAACGAATGATAGCCCATGCGATTACACAATCAAGAATTGTGTATACTTTGATGTCGTGACTCAATTTGAGCACTAGAGGAGATTTTAATTGATCGACTTCATTTGACGTGGAAAAGTCGATTAAAATAATAAGTCGATAATGATAATGTTATCTCATAAGAACAGAAATGATCAACAACATCGAATGGTGCGGCACATATATCCTTCTCGTTCAGTAGGTTCACATGTTGTGTTAATTTGAATGAAGGTCACGCAGGCTAGCTAGTTTGAACATTTTTCAAGATTCGAGTTTCTGGTAGTTTCATCTTTCGCACGTTGGCTTTTATATTTCTATAAAAGCATCTCTTCATGTGCAAAGCCGCCAAAAGAGTCGTGTAGGTGGCCCTTATGACGTGCTTATCAACCAATCCCCCGTGCAATTAGAAAAAGTACATCACATATATGTCAACGTCGCAAAATCTTATGTCTTTCTTGCCTAATTATATCAACAAATTTGCATGTGTACAAATCAGGAAAATTTCATTTATGCGATGGTCAATGTCATTACATCGAGCGATATAGATATGACACAATCAAGTTCGCAGTGGACGGTGCAATCGGACCATAATTCTAGGTAGTTCCAACTTCCAACGAGCAAAGATAATTTATTGCGACCGAAGCAGCTTTTACTCCTGCTCAACGATCCCCACAGACCCTTTCATTCAATGTCTTTACCACCTTCTCCGGACATTGGCTCAAAGCCCAAGTTAACAAGAGAGCATATCTTTTGCAAAGGAAATCTCAAGTGATGTGTGTCATCCGCATAATGCAATGATATCAAAAGCCCATTCATTGATGATAGAAAAAATGACATGGTCCATGAATTTGATTCAATATGCAATATCGTCCCTAAAATCTTAATTTATTTAATGTGAGTAATGAACTTTAGTTCAATGTGTTTTTTATATAGTTTAACGACTACATTGTACATTTACCGATAGAAGGGACTGCATTAAATAAAATAAAGTCTAGAGGCGACATTGCATATTGGACCAAAATTTATAGACCATATTGCACGAATTAAAAGTACATGAATCACATTGTACATTAGATCAAAGTTCAAAAATCATTTACGTTATTATCCCTTGATAATATTATGTCACCATTTTGAGTGAGATCGGTGCTGCACATAAGATCAAAAACCTTTGAACATTTGTTTTATACTTGTCAACAGAGATGATTCAATCCATCACAATACCGAGAACTAGTCCTGATTCGGACACTTGTACGACCCCTTCAAGGTATCGATCTTTCCACCGTAACACGTCTTAATTCCTATACAAAGTGTCATAATATTAAAAAAACAAAACACCCGAAAGAATTTTTAATTAGCAGTTGATATTCATTATTTTGGATTCGAACGGCAATTAACCCCGACAGATGATTCTTTGTCCCGTGTGATTATCAAAGCTAGATTCATGTGCATGCCTAGCCTTTGGCCTAACGATCTTGTCCCAAACACCAAGTGAGCCAAACACACACCATTGCAGTCCTCATTCTGGTTGAAGTTTATTAATGGTTGGAGACTCCTGTCATGGTGATCATTCACTGTGGGCTATCTGTGATTCGAACCACTTCCAACACTCGTGCTCTTGTTCAACCCCCAGTCTTCACCCCCATCATTCCTTCGTATAAGTTATGCAGTACAACTAAGTCAAATTACAAATTTTGGATCGATGAAGCATGACCTTTTCCCATTTTCGATAGTTAATGGTGGAGTATTGACTTAGATCGATGAAGCATGCCTCTTTTCCGTTTTCGACAAGGGTCCAAGCTCTTATCTCGACGGAACACCAGATACAAATATAAAACTACGCGCAGAATGCATGCAGCAGCAGATCAGCTTTGTTCTATAGTTTATGCCAACTCTTACCTCAGTCTACTCATTCTCTCGCTGATTGAATCTGAAGATCATCTCGTAAAAATCATAAAGCCACTATGTATACGCGATATTTCATACACGTAAATAATTGTTTTCCTGCACTTTGATAAAGCTTATGATTTTTGCAACCAAATCAGCAACCAGATGACGAGAGGACTTCTTATCCCCTTCTTTGTTTCATTGCCAAAAGAATCAAATCTAAAATCAGCCTGGAAATTGTTTATCCTAGATGATTCTTGAAAACCAAAAGATACCGACAACTACCCTTGGTGGAACTGGAAAAATTGCCTCTTTCTTCGGCACCGAGGAATTATCTGACCTGGTGATTCTAGTTTGTTCTGGAAAAATCAGCGGCAGCACTGCAGACAGAAACTAGGCAAGCCATCCCAAGTACATGCGTCCGGCTTCTTGTCCCTGCAGCAACAGCTGCCCCAGCCACAGCTCCCGCGACCAGGCCATTTACCTGTATGAAGAGAACAAGAGGTCAAGATAATTTCAATCTGAAATCGAACTCTTCCCGCAAATAGCAGGAAGGAATTAACCGTCATCAACTTTAATGGGCAACGATGAGCTTACTTGTCCCAAGACATTTTTTAAAATAGAGAAACGTAACCCATTGAATGTCATCACACCGCATGTGATCCTATAACCTTCTCTAATCACTTTTATGACTACAGTTAGCCTCAAATCAATCTGGCTCAAATTAGCAGCAACGTAGTCGCAAAAGCAGATGATATCTTCCACCATGATATGAGTATGATACTTTTCTTGTGTAATCCTCTTATCAAATCATACACTATAAAAATCTTGTACATCTGAAAGAAAAAAAGGGACAGATGTCTCTTGTAGAAAGAATATGATATGGGAAATCCAAGGCATCTTTGCCCCTCTCGCAGTCCAAACCTATTCCCAAGCAAAAGATAAAGACCAGACCCAAAATGCATATGCAAAGAGTCAAGGACCTTAAAAGTTTCAACAGGGGAAAAATGTACGAACACCTAATTTACGTATTGTGCTATCTCAGTATACGACCGGCACAAAGATCTTGTCAGAAGTAATAACTCGGGTGTGACATGATACCGTCATATTTCTGCTTAAAATTTTCCTCCTAGGATATATTTCCCAAAAGGAAAAACAAGGAAATACTCAGTTTTAAATGGAATAGCTAGCATCATGCCTCGTTTGGCATGGTGAGATACTAAGAACTAATATCTGAATTGCAGCCGAAGCTAGATCAGAAAATAAAAATTTGGCTTCTAAGGCCACTATAACGGTGAGTTCGAAATACTTTGCATAGCAAGACTTTGAGTGATGAAGCTGGGTAACTGCTTCAAGCTTGGAGCTTTGCAAAGGCAGGATTTAAGTTCAAAGAACTTCAAAATAATTTTACCAAACACCACAATTTTCACTCGAAGGACTTTTAGAAGTGCAAAACTGCCAACTTTTCCCAAACTCGCCTTAGGACTCGTGCCAATATTTGTTAGCCATTTCTGGGGGAAAAAAGCTTGTTCTAGTGATGACAAAGCCGTCGATCGATCAACTTTGACTCCACAAGGGGGATCAATATCATGACCCCCGGCCATTGATGTTAGATGTTTAAAAAAACCACTTGTCATACGAAACTGACAGAGACTCCATATTCAGGAATTTCATGAGTGCGGTTGACATTGAATACACACCCTAAAGCGCTAAAGGTTGTCTACATTGATGGTTTTCACTATATCCTCGAAGCTCAACAGCTAGCTCAAAGGCTGGCCAGCACAAGACAATATACTGTATCCACGTTAAAGGATTCATTTCACATGCCTAATAACTATAAGGACAAAGAGCCCTAAAAGGATGCCAAGGGATTTAGAAAACTAGAAAGCAAAAGAGCACTACGTGCCAAGTGTTAATCATCAGCAAGAAAGACATCATGATATCAATACAAAGCTACAGAAGGTAGCCAAATCAACTTCCTAACCCTGTTCATTCTTTTGCAGATTACTCTTGCAGCTACGTTGCCATATTTAACAAACAATACAAAAATTATCATATGCCTCATGTATGGCAGCAGTACTCCTTTAACATGTTAACAAGCATCTCGAAGAAATCCTTGCGACGACAACAGCAAATGAAGGCCAGATGCTCTCAGCAAAACTTTCGAAGTTCCTCCACAGATATATGAATGGTCAAATGCATGTAAATACCAACAGGACTTAAGTTGTCGTAACTGCGTAGTTTCTTCAATTTGAATATCAGCTCCAAAACAGGAAAACATGTTGCTATGATACTAACCCAATCATCCCGCCTTCGGTATCTCTGTATTCCACAGCGTGTCACTGTAAAAACTCCAGCAACCAGTCCTAACAAACAAGATTACAAGCATAAGGTCGAGAAAAATCGAATCTCTTATTCACCGAATCAAAAGAAAATCTCAAAATGAGAAGCAGGTTGAAACATGGTCATTAAACTGAAAAAGAAAGCCCGGCTACTCAAAAGTATATGAGCAAGATCAAAATCAATTACCAAGGACAAGGAAAGATAATGCTAGTTACATGAGAGCGTGAATAAGCTAAAGCAGGCATCTGATCAACTTAGTTCAGGAGGCTTCCCTCAAAGTCTGCAGGGTCAAAGGAAAAAAAAGGCATGCATCACTGTTCTTCACTAGTCTGAAAGACACTTTTTTCAAGCGAAGAGACACCTAAATTCGAAGAGAGACCCATTATCCAAATTCGTTCATTTTTTGGAATTCTAAGATGACATATCCAAGTATAACACTACGGGACAGTAGACTGGTGATCACAACATCTGCATATCTCCTAATCTGATGCAATTACATTGCCTGCAAGGATGTAGCAATCGTGAATGAGGAAAATTTTGCCACTAAACACTACTCAATGCCACGAGAGCTTGCAAAAGACAGAAACAATTCTCTTCTCTTCCAATCCACAGATGAGCAATACAAATGTCAAAAACAATTAGCAAATTTCATTCATTCAATTCATAAAGAGAGAGCACAACGCTTGTGCCTGTCCCAAATTGCAGTCGCGGCGAATTTTTACCGCATTGGAAGCTGAACTTGCCGACCGATTTCGCCTGCCAATCCAATCGACGCAATTGCATAAATAACCATCAACCGAAAAGCGAGCCAGTACATTACAATAAAATGAGGTTAAATCAACTTCCATACCACAAAGTACGCGCGAGGTATCCCAGAAAGGCCTGCACAAGATTACCAGAAAAAGAAAAAAGTGAGAAAAGCAAATGGAATGGCGAAAAGATGAAATTTTGAGCGCTGCAGCAAAATGGGTTCTTGATTGAATCCACATATACCCATTTTCCGAGCATCGTATGGACCTATGCATAATCCCCAGATCGCTCCCGCCTGAATCAAGAGACACGATAAGGCATTCAAGATCAAAACTTTCTTCTCTCTTTTGCGGTCAACGAATAGAGTTGTCTCTAATCTTAACCTTGCTCGTCACGAGCGAGCTGCTCGCAGGAAGGGAAAAAGAGAAGAAAGAGCGAGAGCGAGCGAGAGTCGGGGAAAAACTCACCGTTCCGACGCGGAGGATGGAGTCCACGGCGAGGGAAGAGCAGGGAACCACGTCGCTGAGCTCGTCCTTCATCTCTCATTTTCTTCCTCGGCGTCGGGATTCAGCAGAAAGCGACATGGGAGTCGCGCACACAAGAGCGAAGCAAGAAAGAGTGCAGGTTTCTTCCTGGGAAGAAGCAACAGCAAGCATGTAAGAAGACGAGGACTCGCCGCCGAGAGAAGACCCGGAACGAATGCACAGAGGACCCGATTGGGACTTCGGTTTCAGAAACCAACATGAAACATGATCCCTAAATTGCAACTCAACGTGTAATGTAATATTTAAATATTTTAATTTATTCAATGTGATTTATGAATTTTTGATATATGTTCAATTTAATTTATAAATTTTTTATACATATTTAACTTAGTTCCTAAATTACATGAAAATATTCAATATTATCTCTAAATTTGAATTAATGAAAGAATAACAACGAATATTTTTATATAGTTCAAAGATTAAGTTGAACATGTACTAAAAGACTGGAATCGCACATTAGGCTAAAACTCAGGGACCACATTAAATAAGTCAAAATTGCAGATATTACATTGTACATTGAATCAAAATCCATTGATCATTTATGTCATTATCCCTTCTTTTATATGTCATCTTTATATCTTTAGATAAATTCATTTTCCATCTTATATTTTATTTTCCATCCATCCTAATCCTTATGTTATTTTCCAAATATAGATTAATTTTTTATCCTCGTACTTTTAGAGATGTCCAATTTCAATCCTAGCTTTTTGTTATAATGACCAAACTAATCCATATAAAAAATCCATGCTTTTTGGTGGGAAGGGTCGCGGACGAAAGCTATAGCTGGGGTGTACCGAGACTCCCACGGGCTGTTGATTGAGGGTTTCGCGAAGAAAATCCGTGCTTCGTCGGCGTTGGCAGCGAAAATTCTGGCTCTGCGAGAAGGATTGTCATCTGTGACTTAGGCTCCGTTCGTTTGACGGAAAATGACCCATTTCTGGAAAATATTTTTTCGGAAGTCATTTTCCGGGAAAATGTTTTCCCTGGAAGTCATTTTCCCGTGTTCGGGAAAATCGAAAAAGTTTTGAAAAACATTTTCCGCCGTTCGGCAAGTAAAATATTTTCCAGACTTCACCACTTGGGCATGCACTTGCCTTTTATGCATAGGATTTCTAGTGAGCTTAATGCAAGCATCATCATAGAAATGGTTGCAATTCTTGGATCAACTCGCTGTCACCTAGAATGGAGACTCAACACAAACAGAGCAAACAGAGCAAACTCATATGATTCCAGAACGATGGCATTTTTGGATCCACTCGTTGTCACCTAGAATGGAGACTCAACACAAATAGAGCAAATGAAAAGTGATGTCTAAAGATCTTGATAGTATAAGATTTCGACAATTATGCATAAACAAGAAAGATATCAGAACACTACCAATCTTACCAAAATGAGGTATTGGACATTCTTCAGAAGCCAAATTTTGATTAGCTAGACATGAGGAAGGGAGAAAATTCACAACTTCATATCCAATAAACAACATAGAATCACTTCACAACAAAGGGTAAGCATTCTTTAAGTTAAAATGCATAGTCCACACTGAGATCACTAGTCATAGAAAAGCCAATACAGACCAACCATACATCAAACTTCATCTCTCGGAGTACTAACACTAACAATATAAAAAGAAACAATACATGAGTCTTTTGACAACAAAGCTCTACAAAATATGTCATTGTTCTCCTTTGGCTAGAAATTTATCAATCCACACTTTCTTAAGATTCACACTCTTCACCATGAATGCTTTTCCAATTTTTTCATTCTCAACTAGGTAATAAAAAACCGAACCAAGGGAAACTTCATCATAACCATCCACCTTCATCACCTCATTGTACAATTGAGAGTAATTGACGCCGCTTTGACCCAGTGATTTAATCGCCAATGCCATCTCTCCAAGTTGTTTTGAAAATGGAGCATATTTATCATTATTGTCGGAACATCTTCATCTTTTGTGGGCCCTCTTTTCCGAAGGCACGGTAGATGAAGATGCTTTTGATCCCTTCATCAACTCATCAAAGTCATCGTCTAAATCAATGGGTGAGGAGTCAACTTCCGTTACATCAACATCTCCGAGCTGCTTAGCAAAGCTTCCGGTAGCCATATCTCTCCCAACCACCAAAGACATCTCATCATACATATCAATCATCTTATTTAGATACTTCTCATGAGAAGGATGGACCTGTCAATCCAATACAAATAATCCATAAAAAGTCAAACGAAACAATTTAGATCGTCGTAATATGCACAATATTCATTCAGTTATTATAAGTGAAATGGAGAGAATTTGAGCTATTTTGAGTAGGCAAACATAACAAAGATTCAGTTTGCCCCACCACCAAGCTTCTTTTGCCCCAATTCAGTTTAGTTCTCTATGTGCTAAGGGATCATGGCTGGACAAATTGACATTTTGTGATATAGATGAAAATGATAGGAAGGAATAAGATAACAGCAGATAAGAAGCGAAACTGACTATACTCATCTGTTTTCAGATAACCTAAGATAATATGGACATGGTCTGGATTGTGTGCGATTTGGGGACTGATATTTGGCATCTATAAATGCTGGCTCTATAACCGTACTGATAAGAAAGAGTGATAAATGTAGATGAAGCTTCACTTGTTAAGGATTTTGTTTTCATCATTTTGCTGGTTCTTCATTTGGAATTTAGCCTAGACAATCCACGAACAGATTTTGGCAATGTGTTATCATGTTAACCATCATCCATTTGATGTTCAAAATGAGCATTACTGAACAGAACATCTCTAGTAATTGTGTTATTTGCCTATGGTGTTATTTCTGTCATAAGAAGAACTCTGATCTACCAATTATCAAGTTCAGATGGATCACTGGCATGGATACAAACGGCCTCCTAGTGAGCAGGAATACTCCAATGAGGTTGAAATCGGTTCTGGTATAGAACCCACAGAGGAGGAACTTTCTAATCTATCACAAGCCTATAACAAACTTTGGGAACTTGACTTAAACTGATTGATACCAGGCAAGGACTATCAGATAGATTGTGGTGAGGGAAAGAAGGTCTATCAAAAGGAAGACAGGGCACAGGGAATCTTATTTAACTGGCTGAATGAAGATGTATTCAGAAAGCCTACTTACTCTCGCTCTTGTTCTCTTCTTGATAATTACAATTCAAATGGAGGTTGCAAAGAAGTTGTGAGCAGTAAAGCAGCCATTTCTCATAATCGCATCTCAGATATTATATTTTGGCAGAGAGCAAAGCAAGAATAACTAGTTATTGCAAAACACAAGTGCATCTTAAGATTCTACACCGACCACAATATTCAGATACAGGAAAGCAAAAGAACTTTTTGTTACTGCATACCCAAGTTCTTGTTGAGGGTCTTGGTGAACTGGTTCAAAGCTGGCGGAACCTTCAACCTCTGCCTCAGAATTCTCCTCTTCCTCTAAAAATCTGAACAAACTTGGGAACTTGATGAATGGCTCCCTGAACAAAAAGGAACGCCAAAAAGCAAACTTGATCATGTCAACCCGACAACATAACAAACACCTAAAGATCTAACGAACTCCGTAACCAATCCGACCATTCGGCCGTCCCCAACCCTAGAATGCAACATTCCCGTCAGACTCATCAACAACGAATCGACGACACGCTCAATTAACCAACAACCCGAACAGCCAAATAGACGAAGACCTAACTGCTAATAGCGCCTCGGCGTTCCTCGGAATCGCGTCTCGATGGGACGAGAAGATTACCTCGGAATCGCGTCTAGGTGGGACGAGAAGAGGGACCAGACGAAGCGCGAGCCAGCAACGGAGAAAGAACGGATCTGGAGATGAGAGACCAGACGAAGTGCGAGCCAGCAACGGAGAACGAGTGGATTCGGAGATGAGGAAGCGCGAGCCAGCAATGGAGAACGAGCAGATCTAGAGATGAGGGACGAGACAAAGCGCGAGCCAGCAACGGAGAACGAGCGGATCTGAAGATGAGGGACGAGACGAAGAAGGCCTGAGAGAGATGGGAAATAGAGAGCGACGCGAGAGGAGGCAAGGGCGAGAGGGCTTGAGGGCAACGTGAGGGCAAACAAGAAAGAAGGGAAAATGATTTCCTCTTTCTCGAAAGAGGAAATCATTTTTCCCAGTTTGCAGAAGGAATTTACCTGATTAGTGGAAAACGTTTTCCCCAGGAAGTTATTTTCCGCCCCCGAACACCGAAAAATTCGGAAAATATTTTTCCCCAAACGAACACAGCCTAAGATACGGGGATAAGGGATTGTACGAACTGAACTGAGCAAGGAGAGGACAGACCTGCATGTGCTCATCTTGACTGACTCCTTCTCAGCTGTGGAAATGATTTTGGGCCAGACTGAAAGCCAATGGGTTGTTCACTCCATTGTCATGGATTGCCAAAGGCTCATGGCCCATTTGAATGGGGTTTCGCTAGCCCACTGCCCCATAATTGCAAATCAAGTCGTGGATTGAGTGGCGAAGGCCCTTCGGACGGATTCTCTTGTCCTGAATTGGACGACTAATCCCCCCACACTCTCCATGGTCTTTATTATGTTTTGATGTTGGATCACTTATGTGTCTCAAACTCAAGCTAAGTTAATGCAAGTTATGATCTTTATTGACAACAAAAAAAAAAAAATCCATATACGAAATGAGGATTAAAAAACTAATCCGCCTGACAAAAAACTAATCCTTGATATTATAGATCGCCAAAAGAAAATTAATCATTCTATTATTCTTCGACAAAAACCCTAAGTACGATCATCGCATTTCCGTTTGAAATCTAATGAAAATGTCTGATTAAGACAAACTATTGATAGATGATGCCTGCATGCACAAGTTGGCCCAATTAGAATCTTGTTAGTATCTGAAAATGGCGAAGAAGAAGGAGAGAAGAGAGCGGCGTTAGAGAGAGAATACAGTGTGTCACTAGGTTTGACACACTTCTTCTATTTAAAATAGATAATCGTTTACATTAGATGGGCCAAGCCCTAAACACCAATAAACAACCATAAAATAATAAATAAAATAAAAAGAAAGAGAGAAGGGGAAAAGCCCACGTGATTTAACACTCCCCCTCAAGCTGGAGCATAGATGTTCATCATGCCCAGCTTGTTACAAATGAACTCTATCCTCTTTCCAAGTACTCGATTTTGTAAGGATGTCAGCAAGTTGATCACTGGTCCGAACATATCCAAAT